TCTCTCTCTCTTTATCTCTCTCATTTACATATTTTCACAGAGGCTGCTTAACCAAATGAACACTGACATTAGCTTTGATTGTAAATGGGCACTCTCTTGAAAATAACCAATGTTTCATCCGCCTTTTTAAAACCAGTACTTGTACTAGTCCTAAAGCTATGTCGCAAACTTAGAATTACAAAGTTCTGTCGGACATTTTTGGTCGTTTTGATCGACTAAGACCATGAGGTTAGAAACTAAAGGTTTTATCAGCTCTATCAAAACACATGTAGAAAGATTATTCGGAGTCGTTATCAAGAGAGTCAGAGAATTGCCTTTGAAAAAGCTTGGCATGTTGTGAAACTCAAAACTTTAAGTACAAATTTCTCAAAACTAGGTACTGAGCAGATAGAATTTGGTGGCGTCGGTGGTCTAGTGGTAAGGCTACCGGACTCATAATCGTAAGGTTGCGGGTTCGGGGGTTCGAGCGGCGGGCCCGACGTTGTGTCCTTGGAAAAGGCACTTTACACGAATTTTCTTCCCTTCACCCTGGTGGGAATGGGTACCCAGCCATAGACAGCGAAAGATCTAGTTAGTATGTTTGTGTTTTAGCGCCTATAAATGGCCGCTTGCACTCTAGGCTTCCCAGGAAGTTGAGGTTGTTTCAGATTGCTATCAGATCACCTGGGGTAATAGTGTAGATTGTGATGCGCAAAGAGGGTAAACATATTATGCCGGTCTCAACAACGAGTCCTCTTGTGCGTTCACAGCTGCGAAAACGACTCCCAAGTGCAGTACCTCCTGGTCTCTTCTGACGAAGACCGAGAGGGGGAGACCCGCTGTACCTTCCGTGGCCCGGACAGCTGCATTTACCGTTACAGCTACCAGAACGGCGCGGACGGCAGTGTGACGGTGTACGTTCAGATGCAAGCCATCTGTCCCCAGCCTTGACCGAGCAGACGTATGATGACGACCTTGGTATTTGGAAATACAATCGGCATAGGATGCGATAGGCAATCAGGCGCATACCAACAATGATCCAATCAGAAATCTAGATGATTCAACGTTGTAGTAAAAAGAAACCAATCAGGAATCTTGATTCCAATGTGTACCAAAAAAGTAACCAATCAAAAATCTAGATTCAATGTTGTATCAGAAAGTAACCAATCAGAAGTCTCGATTCAACATTGTTCTAAAAAGTAGCCATTCAGAAATCTAATTATGATCAGACCTATATAAATAACATTGTTTACTCGTTTCCCTTTGCCAGAATATTATTACGTCACGGCTGATTGGTTGCCAGCTGCCCTGAACTCACCTTAACATATTATGTACGGTGCAGGCATCGCTAAGCCACAGTCCTGGCCTATATACGGCCAGGCTCACTACTAGTTTATAAAATGTACTATAATAATATCTGTCACGACGCGGTGGAATCAAGCGCTCATCAATTTTTAGGCATATAAAGTTATTGGTACCATCTTACATCTTGCTTGTTTTTCATGAAAAAATACCCATTCCTCTTGAATAGAAGTCGAAATATTTGTGATTGAAAAATGTAGGGGTCGCCTGGCGTCAAAGGTAAAATTAGTGAGAAAAAGGTCACTAAAGTTCGGTAACTTTCACGGTTTGAATGTCCTTGGAAACTGCAAAGTTCCATATTTTGTATATGAGGAATGTGTTTCAGAAAAAAAATCCACAAAGATGTGTATTTTAAAATGGACGAAAAGGGTTTTGATCCACAATGAAAAAGAAAAGCAACCCCCCAAAAAAAACAACAACAACAACAACAACAAAAAACAACCCCCCCCAACCCCCCCCCCACCAAACAAACAACAACAATAAATGAAAAAAAGAACTAACCAAACAAAACGAAACAAAAAAAACAAAACAATCCCCCAAACATTCGAAAACAATTGCACAATGGCCAGGAAATTGTCGACTTTTTCGATTTCATCGTTTTGACGAGCGTCTGATTTCACCTCGATTCCTTACATAATATGTGAAGCATGCTGACAAAATGAGTTACTTCTCGGATTCGAGCCCTATAAAAATAGATACATCACGCTTATAGATGAAGTTTTACAATTTATAGGTATGAAATAATGAAAGGCATGTTATAGTCAAAGTATATGGCATCAATAGAAAATATTTAAATTTGACCCTAGTGTCGATTTTTGACAAATATCTCCATTTGTGGATTGTGAGAAGTAACTCATTTTGTCAGCACGCCTCACATATTGTCTTCTAGTCTGCCGGTATGCTACTTTCAATACAACTACACACATTCACTTATTCTGCCCACAAGAAGTACTGAAAGACAGTATGTTTTTGCTTCATTTGCTTGTTTGTTTGTTTGTTTTTGTACAGAGAATCCCAACAACATAATGGCGGATACTTAGCGCCAGGAAAAAGAAAGACTGATGATGAGGAAAAAACAACCGAGGGGAGAGTAGTACTCTGTATAATATTGTAACATCCTCCACGTACCCACTTTTTCACTTTATCATATTATACTGAACTAATTATAATACTATCTTTCCTTGTGCAGCTATTTCCTTGGGTTTGTTCTTGATCTCGTGTGATTTAAGTTTTAACTTTGGTAAATTCACAAAGCAATACTAACCACAGACAAAAGAGAAAACCATTCATGTTTTTTTTAAATTTTGGATTTGATAAAAATCTTATGTTTCTTTGGCTTAACTCAAATTAATGAATGTTAAAAACGATTGCGTTTTCCCCAGTATTGTTGTGTTTTGAAAACAGTTATCACTAACACAGATAATAAAGTCTTTTTGCCAACTGCATTGTTACGGCAATGAATTACTCGTCATTCATATCATGTAAACTGAATTTTTGCTTTGTTTTGTGATTTTTCATTGACGCACGTGGCGTCGATGGCCTATTGGTTAGGCTACCGGACCTGCAATCGTGAAATTGCGGGTTCGGGGGTTCGAGCATCATCTCAGTCTTGACGTTGTGTCCTTGAGAAAGGCACTTTATACGAGTTTCCCATTTGGCTCGGTCCTTTCGGAGATGGGCGTTAAACTCGGAGCTCCCGCCACTTAAAAACCTTACAGTGTTGATAGGGGCATTAAATTTGAACTCTGGGCGGTGCCACTGACTGAGGTGTATTTAGGTCATTCCCAAAAGGAGGACATTAACTTGTTCTTATGCACAGTAGAATTGTAATTGGGCTGATTCAACAATGTCATGCTCACAACTGTGCCTGAAGTGCAACAGGGAACTGCTGCTTTTTCTTTCCTAATCCTTACTACCGTCATTGTTCCTCTTCTTCTTTTGTATGTTTGTCCCACTCTTGTGACCCACTATTTCCGGGGTGCCTTGATAGTCGAAGCAGAATTTGTGCTGTTGAAGCTAGAGAGGTGAGCAGAGTAAGCCTGATTCCCTATAAGAGCTTCTCTTTTGACATCCACCCTTTCGCGCCCATATGACCTTATGCAGTTGCGAGCGCCGTAAAACTTCTACTAAAACTAAAACCAAAAAAACTCGAACCATTTCACCATTTAAATCATTGACGCACCGGCATCTTTAGTGTAGCAGGCGCTTGTCGTCGCATGTAGGAAACCTGGTTGGTGGGAGCTCAAGTGTGGTTTGCTCCTTCTTTCCTATCTATCGTCGAGCACCCATCGTTCTTACCTCTCCACCTTCTTTTTTGTGTTTGTTATTCTCTAGCAACACCTGTAATGGTAAGCACCTTTGTAATCTTCTGGTGTTGCAAGTGCTGTAAAACTCTTACGAAAACTAAAACTAAACACATCAGTCCCTAGGAGGAGGCTTGGGAGGGGGGGGGGGAGGAGGATATACGTGCAGTTGCACCACAGAGACGCATACCACGATCATTCACACAATGTTTCCACCGGTTGCCAAATACCCATTTGTTGCTATGAGACCTGAGAAAAATAGGAACGAAAAGAAAAAAAATTACCCGATCCGTATGTGTTTTACTATCGTATCCATACGACGTGGGGAATTCTGGGCCACCACCATCCAAAGAGGAAATTTACTCGTTAATCCGATCCGTACGCTTTGCATTTGTCAAAACGATTTTTAAAAACAAATACTGAAAGTTTCAAAGAGATTTTTGTACTAGAAGTATTCTGAAATGTGAAGAATACAACCCCAGGGGTACAAAATGAGCACAGGGCGTACGGATAGGGTTAAAATCCACAAAACCCCATCCCGACCCTTACTTAGCCAAGGGAAAGGGGAATAACATTCTCATTTTTTTGTCTGACAAATATCTTGCTTTACCGTCCGGCTTGGGCTCTAGTGGTTCTGCCTTCAAGTTAGTCGGTCTATTTGTCTGTTCGTCTGTTTGTCTGTTTGTCTGCCATTCTCCGTAAATCCATTTCCGTCGGAAATGTATAATATAGCTCAGATAAAAAAAATCTCATTATTGCTTAATGGGCTTCGCTGGTTCCTTCCAACCCACTGATTTAGCTGTGAGGGGCCAAACTGATTTAGGATCATATTGTTTTCAAATCAGAAATAACCCCACAATATCGGTACCCTTTTCACTTCTTTTATAACATTCTCATTTTCTGCTCTTTTGATCTCCAACCCCCTCTCCCTCTTCCACTTCCTCTCTCTGTGCCCTCCCCCCCCCCCCATCTCTGTCTCCATTTATTTCCTTGCTTTAAGATAGATAGATAGGTAGAGAGAAAGATAAATAGATAGATTACAGATAGATAGATAGATAGATAGATAGATAGATAGATAGATAGATAGATAGATAGA